CACAGGCTACGATGTCAAATATTTTGTTTACATTCAATCGAAGTATAAAAGATTTACATTCAAGCAAATTATTAATAGATGAGGCATTGCTTCGTACTAAGCATCGATAAGATACAAAGCAAAGATAAAGTCGAAACAGGCGATGAACAATACTGAAGATAAGTACGTACTTAATTCTACTGGTGACAAGTTTTCATTTTTTTATATAATAAAGGAGAACATTGGCCACGAAATTTTTTGAACATGCATTTATTTATTTATGTGCCATAAATATAATAGCAGCATAATAGCATACACATACAATATTTACTTTAAATGGATACTGATCCATTTTTACCCGACTATGCGACGCAAGGGAGGGTAATGTGTTTATCGGTCTATGTTTGTATGTTTGTTTCTATGTGGCGTTCTAGAGACCAAATGCGTAGGCTGATTTTGATGATTCTTACATCAATCGATTCGTTTTAACCTTGCGAGTGTCACTAAAGACATGACAGTAATCAAAATTCACCACACCGACAACCAGACGTCATATTGTCAAAATGAAAAAAAAAATCGATGGACTACGTCAAGTGGGGTGTTGAATAGGTATTTTAAAATCATCTTTAGGTTCCTTTTATTATATTTCGTTTTAAACAATAGTTTAGGATATATAACAATTTAAAGTTGTTTAACAAACGATATTATCTCCTTCAATGAAATGACTAGATTGCGAAATTAACCATCTTATAACGAAGTCAACGAATCGTAACTAAAAAGTATAAAATAAAAATAAATCTTCCCAAGGGGATTTTTTATTTAATTTAATTTGTTAATTTTTTTTTTAATTCGTTTTTACGTTGTCGGGTTTTTTATTTTTCTTTAAATTATTTTATATATTACCAACTGCAATACCGTACCTTATGTACACACCTTAAACAGGCATGGTTATGTACAATATTTATATTTGAAGACATTCGATCCAGTAAATCAGTAATATATTAGATTTGGGAAATTTATGCTCGTTCTCACTAAACTTAGGAGTCGCCGAAATCTGTCCATTAAATATTTAGGAATCGCCTAAGGTAAAAATGCATGTCACTTCCACTAGGAGCCACCTAACGAAAATAAGCAATGGCTAAAGTTATTATATTCGTTTGCGGCGTTTTGCGCTAGGAATATGGCAGATCATAGATATGTCAAGGGATAAAATATACTCGTATATTTAAAACTAATCTGCTTGGGCGATTCGTAATATTAGGCATTTCCTAATTCAGCTTTGCTTTGTTCTAGGTTATTGAAAATGGGTGTCAATTAATTATCAATTTTATTATTCAGCATAAAAAGCTTCTTTTTTCCACTATTTTACTTTCATAGATTAAAAGATTGTGATTGAATGATGAAAATACAAAATTTACATAAATATAACTAATGAGTGCTAATAATTAGAAAACGAATACGATAATCCAACTTTTCCATCGTATCAGGTATTTAATACAGATAATGTAGTAAGTAGAAGATAACAAGTTGCAGATATATTTTAACTGACTAGCACATTTTTAGATTGTGAATAGTCTTAAACGCATTTGCGTCGGCTATTTACATTTCTTACTTAACAAAACACTGTAACAAGTCAAATGTTATTTCTTTTATCGCGAATATATTTCTTTTCTTTCATTCATATAAAAAAAAATAGAGAGATGTGAATATTTAAAATTGCTATTAATTTCTTAAAAGTCCAGATTTTATGACGTCAAATTCTTGTAAAAGAGTCCCACACACCAGTGCAAGAAAGAAAAACCGAAAACACATATACAAAGGGAAAAACGGGACCTTATTACTAAAACCCCGCTGTCCGTTTGTATGTCACCAATTTGTAACTCACGAACCGTGATAGTTAGACAGTTAAAATTTTCACAGATGATGTATCTCTGTAGGCAGTACGACTAAAAACAGAATAAAATAATTATTGAAAATGGCTTCCATTCAATAAACGCAATTGGTACGGAACACTTGGACGGTTGTTTTTATTTTCAAAAGACCTACAAAATTTGCCCGATGAAAACAATGCACACTGATAATCAGGGCCGGAAATAAAGGAGGCTGTTTCGACCGCTTGATCCCAGGGAACTGTTGATTTGGATACCGATTCATATCATGCCATTGATTAAACTACAATAACGAATTGAATAGTAAACAACGGTTACTATGGTAAAGTTTTAATGGCCTATACAAACTTCCACTCACATTTTCATCCCTTTATTCGCTGTTTTTCGAGATAAAATACAGCCTATGTTCACTGATACTGCTGCTGAATGTGATGTAGCTTCAGCACATGTAGCATGACAAACTCGAGAAACGCTTACACTTGCCTACGCTCAAATGTCACTTTCTCGAGTCGAGCGCACCCGAGAAAAGTGACATTTGAGTGCAGACAAAAAATTCTCGAGTTCGTTATGCTATGCGTACGTGAACATTTTTAATTTAGTATCAGAGCGTGTTCGTTGCAAACTAAAATGAAATCTTTCCCGTTTATAAGTGTAGATGACAATATAAAATCCGGTTTCGTGGAGCGTAGAGGGAGGAAGGGAGAGGTGGGAGGGCGCCATACGAAGTTTATCCATTTATTTTCACAACGTCATTACGAATTCACGACCTAGACTTTTTACTGTCAAACGGTATTGTAGCAACATACGGATTCCACAAATGCAAGATGCTTTTAATAATCCGACCACATCACGTTGCTTAACATTAAAATCCCAAATACGTAACCAATCCGACCGAACACCCACCCACTGAGGATATTTATTAACAAGCGCACGTGTTTGACCAGACTGCTACTTATTTTGGTTTATAACGCGTGGGGGAACTACTTTTATTTATAAGGAAAAAATGTGTTTTTATACTTTTTATGTTTATGGTAAAAACAATGTCACTTCAAATGCAGGCATTTCATTTTCTGCAGTTTAAATAACAAAGCAATCTTAGGCTTAACTGCTAATTATGATTAATTCTATTTAGGGCGCTGACACTATATTTTTTTTATCGCCTGCTCGCATTTGGAAATAATAACCATAGTTTAATGTAGTACCTAATGACCTGCCGACAAGATTATGCGTAACACTGAATATAATATTCTTTTATTTTTTTTTATTTACTAGCTTTCCGCCAGCGGCTTCGTTCTGTATTATAGGTAAAAACCTTTCTCTTGTTTCACACATTATAATTTTTAAAACCTCATTAAAATCCGTTGTGTAGTTTATAATACCTCAGCAAACAGACAGCGGGAAGCTACTTTGTTTTATACATGACTAGTGGCCGCCAGCGACATCGTCCGGGTTTTCCACTATTTCTTCGCTCGTAATAGTTGCAGCGTGATGTTATATAGCCTAAAGCCTTCCTCGATAAATGGTCTATTCAACGCAAAAATAATTTTTCAATTCGAACCAGTAGTTCCTGAGATTAACGCGTTCAAACAAACAAACTCGTCAGCTTTATAATATTAGTATAGATGTAATTTTCTGGCGGTATTAAAACTAAACTATGCCGCTATTTAGTACTTCACAGACGTGCTAAATTAGCTGAACACTAGAAATAAAAATCTTCTCAATGTTTTGATTCTTCTCAGTACAAGGTGTGCGGACGACAGTAGACTTGCGAATCGATAGCATTATTTATGTACTCGTTTAACATCAATTATATTCAGTTTTATTTCTCTTTGGTTATGTAGGCAGGTTCAAAAAGGGTGAATTTGAAAATAACGGCTGATCAAGAGTTTGAAATCTATATTATACTCAAAATCAATTGCTGTTCGTTTGTTGCACTAAAATTCGAGAACGGCTGGGCTAATTTAGCTAATTTTGGTTTTGAAATATTTGTCGTAGTCCAGAAAAGGTTTTAACGATGATACAAGGACCACGCGGGCGAAGCCGCTGGCGGAAAGCTGTATTTGAATAAAGAACATTTTCATTTAAGTACTATATCTTTTTGTTTGTATACTAATTCATTGTCATTCCAATTTTCTATTCATAATTTATACTTATGTAATAAGGCTGTTATCATCATCATCAGCCCTTTTACGTCCCCACTGCAGGGGCTCAGGCCTTCCTTATGGATGGTTAAGGAGAATGGGCCAAGACTCTCCACGCTGGCCCAATGCGGATCGGAGGGTATTAACGACTGCAAATGCAGCCAGGGCCAACGGCTTAACGTGCCTTCCGATGCACGGAGTAGCTCGGGATAATATATTTTTTTGGTCACCCATCCCGTGACCGACCCTAGCGAAAGTTGCTTAACGCCAACGATCGCGGGCCGCGGCGCTTATCCACTACGCCACCGAGCTACTCTGTTGCCAACGAGCTAAGGCTGTTATACTAAGTTCTAACTAATCTGAATCTTCTTTTGCAGAGCAATGATCGAAAGTACATACGATTAAAATTAACAAAGAGTCTCGTTTCAATAACCATAAGGTGTAAAATAGAACGCATTATATGTCCGCCTCTATAGGGACATGGCGCTTGGAACGGCCGATGGCAGGATATTTCAATATTTCTGATTGCCCAACATTTGCCGCGCTTCAAAATGTTACCTTCTGTGCAGGTAAAGTTAGCCACATCAATTGTATCATAATGGTGACCACAAAATAAGTGGACTGATTATCTAATTTTAAATATATCGCAATCACCTTCTAAGCTATAGCGATTCTGGTAGCGTGTTAAGTGTTTACATAACTTTTAAAGTTTTTTTATTGAAACATAGTAAAAAATTACCTAAACCCATCGAAAGATTACAGATAGCATTTCGTTAGAAACACATTTTTTGCGTATAACGCTTACCTTAGACAATTCCAATTAACATTAAACCAACGATATCGTTCAAAAAAAAACCTCGCGATTGCAGTCCCTATCACATGCCAAATAGTTGAAGGGTGAAGTTCGTGAATATCATTCAAAGTCAAAATAGAATCATCAATCTAAAATTGGACAATTATCTGGAGGTTTGTTATAAAAAATATTACTCACCAAAGGCATAGCTGGTTTTTGTACAGGTGGCTGCGGTGGAGGACCCCTAACTCGAATGTCGCTAGGCTGCCGTCTTATCGCCGGTCTTGCCGGTGGGGGCTCTTTCGGGTGATCTCTCGGAGACTCCCTAGCGTATTCTCTCGAAGTGTCTCTAGAACTTTCTCTGTCTCTTCCTGCTAAAGCCTCAGAAAGAGCAGCACTCAACGCTCCTACGTTTCCAGCTGCTACTGGTGCGGCCCTGGTCTTCTCTGGAGATGATTTTTGTGTTTGCTGTGGCTGTTGCGGTGGCGGAAACCGAGGAGCGTCTGTCTTGACTTGGCCGTTTGGTGTTGTTCCTGTGGAATGTTTGTTTATTAGTTTTTAGCGATTAGTACACATATATTATTGAATAGGCACTAGTGACTGTATAACATTAAAACATATCTCAGATTACATAGGTAAAGTTAAGAAGTTGGTATTAAAAAGAAAATTCTTTAAAATGAAATTTCAATCAAATTATCAAAACAAAGTAAGACTTTCTGATTACAGAGAGCATTTTATATATTAACGAACAGTAGTCTCTCTGGAGTGATCTAGCCTTTAGAATGGACAGAATATAAATTCTGATTTAGAAACAATAAACCCTTGACAATATTATTAACCCTTTCTGTGCCATTTATTGATTGTCAATAATAAAAAAAAACAAGCTTGAGATGGGCTGTCTCGCTATAAGATACAGCTTGATGGCAGATGGACAGATAGACAGATGAATAGTTGAGTCTTAGTAATAGGCTACCCTTTCGCCTGTTGGGCACAGAAACCTAAACAGCAATTATTCCAAAGCGTGACAACAGTTTACAGGTGGGAAATATCTGAAATTTGGTACTGAATGATTTTAATAATCTAATGTTAAAACAACAAACTTTGGAATACTTTAAATCAAACTTTTGAAAGTGTGAAATAAGTGTAACATAATTTATGGATGGATATAAAGTAATCACCAGTGGTCGGAATTAGGTAGAGTTATTCATGTACTTACACTCATTTCATACAGCGAAAGAATAAAGTGGATATGCCTCAAATCCCAAGATTAATTTTAAAGAGCAGAAAAAATCCCGTGATTTTTTAAATAAAAATAGGCAAAACCTCATGAGTCTAGGCTAGAAGCAAAAGTATTCGCTCGTATTTATAAAAAAGGCGAAATATGCGTATGAGAATTTGCTTAAGACTATCAATAATTTGTATTGTAAATTAATGTAAACTAATAAAAATTTTATTTTAATTATCTTTGTTTTATTTATCTATCTCTGACTTTGTTATTATTATTTAGTTGAAAGATTGTTGGCCACACGGGATTGTCCATTAGAAATCCCGGGAAGGTCCACATTAATATCAACATTTCTATGCAAGTACATAAATAACTCTACCTAATTCCGACCTCTGGTAATCACATACATTTTTCATCAATATAACGACTATAACATGCATTGAAAGATATTTAAATGTCATGCAGCAATAATTATATTGTGACAATAGAGACAATAAAAAATCTAAACAGACAATAACATTCAATTAAGCCAGTTATCATAATTTAGATAAATAGCGATTAATTTATTCATTACAATCACTGTGCAAAATAATTTAATGTTTTTTTAATACAAATAATTAATATAACTTCATGTGATTGTCATGCAATTAAACATATATGTAGGCATTTATTGTTTTGTTGATAAACTTATGGATTAAGTGAAAATTATCACCTATGAAATAAATACAGTAACTAATACCCAATAAAATTTCATTCAGCAGGTATATTGAATTAAACCTGCTTACATAAATTTTATATTATATAATTGCATAGATTGCTATTTTGCGATACAGCCAACTTTGCATGCCATTTTTCTTATAATAAATTTGAGCACTTAAATTCTAAAAAAAATATATTACTCAGCAATTGAGTTTACTAACAAATTAATAAAAAGCAATCTCTCATTAATATTCTCAGAATTTTCTTATTATCTACTTCTCATTGTAAAGTGCTTATTTTAGTTTAAATGCAACTGATGGCACTAAAAATATGTTTGAAACCTCATTATTCTATTGCCATCAATTGTTTCAACATAATGGCAATAAGCTGAATATGGACTTTTAAATTACGCAAAAACAAAATATGGTAATAAGAACTCTGTAAATATTCATCAAATATTTGTAAAGTTATTCAATAGATTGAATGAACATTTTGTTTTGTTCTATTTTTTAACATTAAAAAATCATAAACTCAAATACAATACGCACCTCCAAATTTACCAGTCGGCCTCAGCTTTGGCATGCCACCAGCAAACAATCCTCCAAGGCTCGGTGGAGCTCCTCCTCCATTCAGCATTGGAGCTCCACTTCTGACTCCATTTCCAACAGATGGTGTACTATTTGATACATTTGACACTTTCCCAGGAATGTATGGACCACTTTTGTCAACAGTGACTGTTTTTTTCAATTTCGCACCCTGCCTTATGGAACTCAACAAGGCATTTCTATCATCGGATGAGCCACCTTTCGAACCACCTCCAAAAATAGGTGGTGGAGGAGGCCCAGGCGGTGGCGGTGGGCCAGGCGGTGGCGGAGGCTTCGGAGCCATGTCTGCTATGTTACTATATATACTACTTAAACTATTCGTAGAGCCATAAGTCGATCAACCACTCAATCACTTCACGAACGTCAGTAATGTATCAGTAGCTCTATCCCGAACCTTTACGAACTGCACTCGCATTCACACTAGCAGGTGATGACAACATTCGAGGCCTAATAAGTCATAGTGATCCATAATAATTTACATAAAATACCGAGGAACCTTGCCCTAAAAGATTAATCATAGAAGGAAATACGTAGGCACTAGATATTGTTTTCATAGTCACCTCATTTCTCAATTTTAATAGTATTATTTTTATGATATTTACAACGTTAAAATTGTTTACTTAACCAGTACACGAGCACAATTTAAAGTAAATTGTAATCATTGGTGTTTTTTTTAATTTGTATGAGCTCTCAAAAAAGACTGGAAGAAACCGATCGTTCATCAAATCTCACAAACATGGCCGACTATCAGCTGTCAAATTTCATAAAATATCCAATGTTGTCATTATGAAAAAAGGAATAGCAAACAAAGCAATGGTAGGGAATAATATTTTTTGGTACTTTATTCCGAAAAAATCTAATCACTATAAAGAAAATTATTATAGCATCTAGACTCAATCATTTATCTTTCACCAAAGTTTCATGTCTGAAAGTAATTTACGTTTTATAGAATTAAGTTGACAAAAATGGTATGATATTACTAGAAACACTAGCATGCACAGCTATAGAACTCATTTAAAAAAATAAAGTGCAGAAAATTGGATCTCAGTCCACAGCCTAGCTGTCGGTAGGGTATTTTGGGGTAATTACGAAAGTGGGGAAATTCCGATAATGAAATTAAACAAAAAGCAATATGTTTGTTGTAATTAAAAGATTTTTTATCCAGCAAAACCCTGTTTAATAGTCAACTTTACCGACACAAAATGCTTGATTTGTTGTTTATGTTTATTCATAATTTGTTTATTATAATAAGTCACGCACTGAATAGACTCAAACCGGGCCTAATCTGCGTCGACGAGCTTCGATTCATTTAAAATATCTCTGTATTTGAGATTTAGAGGTCTGAAACAACAATAATTAATAGCAAATAAAAATAACAATTCCACATTGCCCAAATAGATTGATTCACAACATGAATTGGAACGTAACTTAGGGATGGATTGCCATAGATTTTCTTAATGCACTTATTCAGAGCTTAATCTTTGATAAGCTTAATCTTAATCTTTGATGGGTTAATAGGTGATCTGGCTGCTGGGTTATATATAGCGTCGGATGATCTGTTAGTGCTCAAGTTTTGTTGGCTTGGTTGAAAAATATTTTGTTGTGGAAGTTCGTGCGGTATTTCAAGTTCTAGTGGTAATTTTTCTCGAGGTTCGAGGTCCTCAACAATAACCCGTTTTGTTTCATTAGTGCCTTCTGATCGTGGACTTGTAATTGACTGTTCTATTTGCGAATTGAAATTTCAGGGTGCCGCTTTAAAAAAGAATCAAACCGTTTCCTTCCTGGTCTGTTATTTACAAACGGACACTTTTGAAGGTTTTTGTTAGATATAATCTTTTTAAAATATCCATTTCTTTAGTAAATCTTCTTCTTCACTTGTGAGAATAGTAGCTGGTCCTAGTCTACAAACCTCGGGAGGTTTCGCAGCTATTTTATTGCGGAGTGTTATTCCAGGGACATCATATAATTTCGCAGCCGCTGATACTGATGATCCTTGCTTGACTTTCTGGATGGCGCTGGCCATTTGTTGTAGAGAGTAATTTCTAATCGGCGCCATTCTGTGTCTATAGAAAAGGTAGGTAAGTGTTATGATGACAGAGGTTTATGCAGAAGACCACTTGCCATTTCGGGGACTATATAAGGACAATATATAAATAAGTATTACATTAATAATATAGAAATATATATCAGGGTGTATAGTTATCATGGAGGTTCTTTCAATGCTATAAAAAACATTAGGTCTGTCAAATTGTCAAGCACAATTACGAAAGAACACCTTGATAATCATATTGTTATTCTAATCGCGTTGTAAATCTATAATAAAACATTTCTACAATAAAGCGTACGAATTAAACAAATTATTCATATAGTTTGATAGTTGCCAGTAATGGACACCCAATTAGCAACACAATCACCAGTTATGATCACCCAATCATCAACATGCCATTTTTTAAATTCAATAATCATCACCGTGTTACGTAAAATAACAATCGTTAGGCTTTTTTATGAACGTCATCAAACATTACTTAAATATTTAGCAATAATAAATTAAAAATTTCCCAAATTGTTCATGACTGGTCAGTAACACTTTTATTTATCCAATGATGAACATTGTTGTATTTGTACATTACTATAACCATTTTGTAATATATCAAGCTATAGGCTACTCTTAAATATACTGTTAAATCACAAAATAATGACTCATTCAACATATTAACTTTACTGGCTTTAACATTAATTAATTTTTAAACTTACCTGCGCTACGATGCTTACTAAAAGATCGGATATTTTTTTGAAATCGTCGGAGCCACGTATTCGTATTCAGTTTATTTTGTTAATATGGCCGACAGCTGTCAAAAAAAAAATCTGGGCTCCGGATTGGATAAACACATTCATATAGTGTTACCATTGAAAAAAAAAATAGTCGGATTTTGTAGTTATTGGCGATTTAATGGTAATATGTTCATGATTGGGAATAAGAAACGTCCGTTCAAAACGGACAGCAAGATAATAACTTTAAGTTTCAAAATCAAAGACACGTAACAGTTATGTTACCACTACCACTTATAGCATTTTTTATATAATTTCATATCAGTAACCTTTGTAATAACGAATCATCATCATAATTTCACATCATCATTGGGCCAGTGAGGAGTGTTCAATAAACGATCCTTTATGAAGGCCCTAATTAAATTAAAAAAAACGCAGAGCTGGTTTCTGAACAAACATGACTGTCCTCATTACTTTTAACAATAGAAGACTGGGCTGGTTTCAAAAATGTCCATATAACCAATAAAGAATAAAAACAAAACAAGGAGTATGAAGCAAATGTTGATACATAAATTGAATAATTACATTATGTATGTACAGTTTGACATATGGGTACCACACTTATATAGGAATTAAAATTATTTTTTATTAGTAACACCAGAGACTCCATAACTGAGTCATTGTCCACATATTTATTTTCTACTGTTTTCTATTTACATATACACTTTCAAGAGTAAGCGTAATCTTATTTAGGTAGGCCTCAATTACTATGCTGAATGCGTTCTTCTCTATCGTTTTGACTCTATTCATTCTTTATTATCACTTATGCAAGAATTACGTATATTTCTGCAACAAATTCGTGATATGCGGGAATAAGTATTTGTTCGTATGTTTTCCCCATAAAAAGTCTATATGGTTCGCTGTTTCACGATTTAAGACAATAAATTCCACCAAATTCGGCAGATGGCGTTTCAGACGCTTGACACCCTTGAGAGGGGCCATTAAGTCATTGGCCCCTGTCACTAAGGCCACTCTCGTGGTTACTTTGCTAAGATCATATTCTGGTGGTACGCTAGAATTATAAATGGCCAAATTCATATCTTTATTATAGTCAAATTGGCAGAACTTCTTTTTCGTCCAAATTTGCTGATAGTGACTAAAGCATTTAATTGATGTTCCTGCGGGGTAGTGGCCTACTAAAGAATACCAAAACTCGGGTTCTAATTCTTGTAAATCATATCCGTTTACTGACATAAGTAATCCTTTCACGCACCACTTATATGCGTTTTCATGAGAACATACAATCTCGAAGATATACCTTTCCAATGTATTTTTTCCTAATATTTCTTCCTTACGATATGTTTTGAGTAATTTATAAATGTAAGGCCATGCCATAATTGCTTCTTTTACAGGAGATGCAGTCAGATAGTGTAGAAATGCAATTGGTGCGAGTGCTACTAGCAATTTAATTTTTTCATTGTATTCTGGTCTTATGGAATTTAGAACAAAAAAAGCGCTAGTACCTTGTGAATGTCCTATACAGCTAATTTGTGTTTGTCCTGTTTTATTAAGAATGTAATCAATTTTAGCGGAGACATCCCACAAACCAATTTCATGGAAGGAGAAATTCCAATATTCCATGTGAATATCAGGGTTAAATTGTTTATGACGTCTCGAGTATTCAGTGCCTCTTACATTCCCAATCCAAACATCGTAACCATTCTTCACCAGTGCTACAACTAAAGAAGCATTGCCTCTAATCATATATGCGTCACCGGTATCAATAATTCCATGCAGTAACAGTACTGGGCGAGTTTTGTCCCCAGGGACTTGAAACATCGTAAGAATGTAACCATCCTCCGTAACAACTTCATGTTCCTCACATTTTAGTCCATATTTAGTAGCAAGACCTTTGAAGTCCAATCTACCGTCTTCTGGTATACTGGCTTTACCATAAACGTATTCCACTGAAAGAATTACCGCGACAACTATTTTAAGAGACATGTTCAGTTGTTTTCACAGTTACGCTAACAATCAACACTGAAATATGTTAATATAAGATTTTAACATAGGTCGACCTTAACTTATTGTTACTAAAATCGTAATAGTATTATTCGTAAGCGAAGGACGAGGTTAGATAATGTGTTAAGTAAGGTCAAGGCAAGATGTCAAAATTAGTAAATGTTTTGTGACCGTCCGTCAATTATACGAAACTATCCTCCCATAATATTTGTAAACAAAAATCATTATTCATAACACTTGTATAATGTGCATTGATGAAACTACTGGTCTTAGATAGTCTAAAATTTCTTACTCCGTTAATTACACACGGCTGCACGTCAGGTTACCACAATACCGGGTGCCACAAAATGACCGACAAAGCCGAAAGTTTCAAGTCAGGTTACATGAAAACATCATTTTATTCGACAAATATTTCAAAATAAAGAAGGTGTAAAAATGGAGTAAAAAATTTTTAATTTCTATGTGTTGAGAGCCCTATACCGCGCATGCGCAATATCGATTGTGCGCAGATAACAATGAACCGCGAAATACATTAATTTAATTATTTACCGATATCTTGATGATAGTCGATGCTGAAAATGACCATTTCCTCCCTGAAGACTGAGCTAAGCACGCTCTTTTGCATGCTGGTGCATGTATGCGCAAAACACATCACATTTCACACAAAAATAAACAACACTTTACTCTCAAGACGAACACTGTAGTATCTTATTAACAAAAATTCAATTCAAAATGCACTAGAACAAAACAAAAATCGATAATAAGGCGCTTCGCAGCGGTGCGTCGGCAGCGATGCGCAACGACATTCCAGCGCAAACGGTCAGCAGCGTCTGAGCTCTGTTAGGAGTTGTACAATTATTTTATACGACTGAGTAAGGGAACCCCCGACAGAACAATCAAGCGGGCTGGCGGTTGTCGGGCAGGTGCGGTTTTTATCCAGGGTCGAACTCGGTTAACCTTTTTTTAATTCGTCTTTTGATATCATGCATTTTATAATGTTCTTTTTAAATGCAATTACTTAAATACTATTTTAATAACAAATTCCTCAATGTTTTTAAAGCAAAGTACATTTGTGTTAGTGATAAATCGCTGAAAGATTTGTGAGTTTATCGAGTTTAATTAACAGTCCCGTTGTTGAAGGAGTAGTATTACCCCGTTCAAATAACTTTTTGGCGAACTGCTCTTTTAAAATAGTGTAGGTTAATGTTAGACTGATCACTCTCTCCTTTGATCTGAAATTTTACACTAATTTTATAAATTTTATACTAGGACTATTTGACTTGTGAAATTAAAAAAACTTATCTACTTTTTTCAAATCAGAAACCGGCTGTCAGTCTGTAAATCGATTATTTGCATGAAAGCGGTCTTATAAATCACAAACTAGTTTATTTCGTTTTTGAAATGAAGAAGTCGATGACCGATTAAAAACTTTTCCTTAGTACGTCTCAAAAACAGTTGACTCAGGATTGAAAACACTCATTTTTTTCCAAAAACTTTGAAATTTAATATCTCCGAAACTATTTGACCTATACTCCATTCATTATAGCATTAGACAGTAGTTAAATAAGGTTCTTTTTATGGTATACTTTATGACAAAATATCAATAATCATGTTACTCTCAAGTCTGACTGCTAATTTGCTACATATTCACTTAAATACCAGCTACTATTCTTAACTGTTAGAGTTTGGCAAGCGAAACGTGACACCACCTATTTTTCCGTTTTCATATGGCAACAACATAGAACTGTCAGTTTGACACTACGTTAGACGATTCAAGAATATTGAATTTTGTTGTTTTTGCGAATTTGAACTTGTGTTTTTGGTTAAAAATTATGTCGAAGCCGATAAAAAGTTCATCGAGGAAACTTCTTTCCATCATGATTGACAAGTTTACTGAAGTGAAAACTGAATTAAATAAAAATTTCATGGAGAAATTACAACGATTAGATAAAGTTGTATCTTTTTTAGGTTAGTTTTGTATTATAATTTTGATACTTTCGTTTTAATTTTCTGTAATTAACTAAACAGATATTTTTTATAAAATATTGCTCTATTTCAGATAACTGTGATGGTGATATTCAACCAATAATGGAGGAGATAAATGCAATAAAAACTTTAGAAAAACAAGAAATGCTGAATTCGGAAACGCAGTACTTACAAAAAATTTCTTCAATGACAGGTCTCTTTTCTTGTTTTGATTTAAGATAGATTGATAGTATTCCTATAATATTTACATAGGTTTTTTATGATGTATTGGTTTTTATTGTTGACATCCAATGATGTCATAAGAATGTTTTGTTTAACAAGGAAATTCACAGAATTCATGAAACTAATCAAACCATGTAATTGTTATACATGCTAAATATGCACATAAACTTAACTAAATTAAACATAAATTGCATTCATAGTTGAATAGGTATTTAAATTATTTTGATGTATGTGTCTATCATTATTTGCTTTTAAATACATTTAACATATCTTTGTTTCAAAGTGTTTAATCTTTTATAGATGTAAGTATAAGGACACTAAGAAGGATAAAAAATGAAGCATTAATTAATAAAGGAAAATGGGACACTCCTGGGAAAAAACGACCTCATCAACCAACAGTGTCTGCTTTAGATAATTTTGATTTAAGTGCAATTCGGAATAAAGTAAATGAATTTTACTGTGTGAAAAAAATTGTTCCAACATTAAGAAGCCTTCACAATGAATTAAAAGATGCAATAGGATTCAGTGGTAGCCGTGAGACTTTACGAAAAATTATGCTTAAGAATGGATTTTCTTTAAAAGCAATGAAAATGAACCTTCTATGCTTATAGAAAAATACCAGATTTCTGCATGGAGGCACAAGTATTTGAGAGAAATAAATATAAAACGAAACGAAGGAAAGCAAATTGTGTACCTTGATGAAACTTATGTACATCAGAATTATAAAGTTAAAAAGTCTTGGCAAGGACCTTCAACAACTGGTGTCACTACAAAGATATCCTCTGGAAAACGGCATATTGTTGTGCATGCTGAATCTGAGGAAGGTTTTGTGCCTGGTGCATTATTAGTGTTCAGTAGTAAATCCAAATCTGCTGATTATCATGATGATATGAACTCATCGAACTTTATGAAATGGGTCAGAGAAAAATTAATACCAAATTTAAGTAAGCCCAGTGTAATTGTTATGGATAATGCCAGCTACCATATAAAACAAATCAATAAACCGCCTATAATGTCTAATACCAAAGCAGATATCCGTAAATGGCTTGTAAATAATGGAATACATTTTGAGGAATATCAGACAAAGGCAGAGTTAATGTGTTTGGTTAATGATAAGAAAACATTGCCTGTATATGAAGCTGAAGAGATTTTAAAAGAACATAATCATGAACTTTTATTGCTGCCACAGTATCATTGTGACTTAAACCCAATAGAGATGGTTTGGAGTCAAGCAAAAAGAAAAATTGCAAGCAGAAACATTGGAATACCAGGAAAGGAAATGGAAAACTTAATAATAGAGTGTTTTAACTTAATTACCCCTAGTGACTGGAAGAAATACACTGATCATGTTTTAAATGTCGAAAATGATTACAAATTAAAAGATGGCATTGTTGAAAACGAACTTGAAAAATTTATTATATCTGTTGGTGCAGACAGTAGTGAAGAGAGTGACTCTGATGATTCCTTGTCATTGTTATCAGGTGTAGAATATTTAGAAACAGATTTTGACTATGAATCAGACTAAAGTATTTTTAGTCTGATTCATAGTCAAAATCTTATCTTAAATTTTCTATTGTGATTAACATGATGATTTTGTGACACCTGTATTATGTAATTTATCCATGGCACTTAATTGTAACAAAAATAAATGTTTTTTTTATTGTAATCTGGTGTTTATATTGACTAATTTAATTTGATAGATAGTGGTTCTGGATCAGAGCAAAAGGTTGTGATGAAAATCCCTTAGGAGACATGTATGTGTTATGAACACATTATAAATATAAGGGCCAGAAATCAAAATTGGCTAACATCACATTTATTAAAAAAATGTGGCCAGAGTCGCCCATATTCATTACAAAAAACAAAGAAGTCGTTGCAAAAAACACCCTTTTAATTAATGACAAATATGAATTTTTAATATTATAAGTGCTGTTAGCCAATAGGTATAACGAATGGGTTAAAAAAAAGATTCGATTTAGTCCGTCAGTCAGATAATAGAAAAATATTGGATACGTATTTTTTTTCGCTTTAATTTAACAACAAATGGCTTAAGAGGTACTATGCGACGACTTCAAATATGCTTTGCAACAATGTTACTTTAATACAGTTTATCGATACGAAATCAAGTGTCAAAATGGAGTCCAGTGGAGAATGCCGATATTGACATTTCGAAATTGCTCATCATTGATAGAGAATACGAAATAGTGATTTTGACACAATCAAAGTGTCTATTTTTTACGGTGATGACGATTCTTGGTTGTCAGTTGAGTTAGTGAATAGGCCTACTGATATGCTGTTAACTGTACAATTAAGAACAGTCACGCTTTAGTCAAATGTTCCAAAACAAATAATTTTAATTGATATCTAAATGTTAAGATTAAATATAATTAATAAAAGTATCAAAATTATTTTGCAGTACTACATTCAGTGTTTACTGCTTAAGAATTTTTGAAATTGCCGCCCTTTTCTTGTGACACGTTTCGCTTGCCAGACTCTATCATTGAAGCTATCTATTAAACAAATTTATGACTATTTGATTAACTTAAATGATTTAATAACTATTACAATAAAAAGTGTTCATCTTAAAGAACCTAAAGAAGCAGGGTTGGATAGTTTCGGCACGATTCTCATGTCACCATAATTCTACCAAATTTAAAACGTTGCCTAATCCCTTCGAACGTTTCGGCAGTACAGTTTTTTAATTTTGTCAGACTATGATGTATTCATAATTGTCAAAATACGTAATCTGGGTTTGTCATCCATTGTGAATGCTACTGCCTTTCTTGTTGTTTTGCCGTTTTCCGTGATTAAGTTGTTATTGTTTTATTGACGTGGATACGTCTATGTTTTCGTTCTACAGGGGGGTCATTCTGTGAGCAGGAGTATATGCACTAACGCCATCTATTGGCGTATAAGTGAA